AAGAAGTGGTACTGAAACGAGTTGTTCCATTTTTTGAGAAACATGTTTTACATTCAAATCAGTTTGGATTTAGAAGAAATAGTTCAACAACTCAAGCCATGTTTAAATTAATAACAAATGTTTTGGACACCTTGGATAGGTCGCAGAGCACTGCTGGTGTGTTCTGTGACCTGTCCAAGGCTTTTGACAATATTAGACATGATATTTTGTTGAAAAAGCTGGAATGTTATGGTATGAGGAGGGAGGTTGTCCTGTGCTTCTGCAACTACCTCCAAAATAGGTTTCAAAAAGTAAAGATTAATACCTTGAATGGAAACTCAGTTTTTTCTGATTGGAATAAAGTACACTTGGGAGTTCCTCAAGGTTCAAAGGTAGGGCCATTCTTGTTCTTAGTTTATGTCAACGATTTGTTTTCAAATGTAAATTCAGATTTAATTTTATTTGCAGATGACACAACAGCAATAGTCAAAGGTAAAGACAAAAATGAATTGGCACTTAATATCTCTTCCTCTGTTCAAAACATCAGTTTCTGGTTGAGCAAGAACGGTCTAAGTTTAAATCATGCCAAGACTAAAATATTAGAATTTTCCGCCTCCTCAAACAGGTCCAAAGAATTAATTTTTGCAGTTCCCAACACCAACATTGACCTTCCTGTCTGTAAATCAGTAGATTTTCTAGGACTGACAGTTCAAGATAATTTAAAACGGAATAACCACTGTGACCATTTATATGCTAAACTAGATAAAGCTATTTTTAATCTCCGAATTATTAGAAGAATTTGCGATGACAAGACAGTGATGTTAGTATACTATGGTTATTTTTTATCAATTATGTCTTACAGTTTGTTGTGCTGGGCAAATTCACCTTCTAGCAAATATATCTTTAAACAACAAAAAAAGGCCATCAGAGTCATTGCTGGCATCAGCTCAAGAAAATCATGTAGATCCAGTTTTAAAAAATTCAAACTTTTGACCCTTCCTGCTCTTTATATTTTACACTTGGCACTTTTCATTAAAAACAACCTTTATTTATTTGAAAACTGTAAAAAACTCATAGTTATGAAACTAGACACAAACAATTTTTGGAAATTCCAAGCCACAGATTAGCTTTGTTTCACAATGGACCCTATTATCAATGCATACAAGTCTACAACATATTGTCCTTTTATTTCACAGACCAGTCTTTGAGCCTTAATAATTTTAAAAAGAAACTTTCAGAAAAACTGATTGCACTTTGTCCTTATGACATGAATTCATTTTTATCCTGTCAACTGTAATCTTAATATTTGTATATATTTATTATGTGTAAACTATTTATAATGCATGATTTGTACTGACATGTCACATATTCATTTCTGATATTCAGCCTCTGTATTATGAATTTTTGTGATGAATAAATTGATTTGATTTGATATCTTAATCTAATCGTCATAAACAGTTTCCACACTCCAGGCTGCTTGCCTTTACTACTTCCTTCACCACTTCATACGTCATGGACCTCAAGCTAGTGTCGTCATTTGATTATATTTATGATCCATACAGTTTCTGTTCTAATATCTGTGGAATAATGATATCAGCTATTTCTTTATCTACTGCATTCTAAAGTCAACATCTGATCATATGTCTTTGTTTATGTGTCAAATACTGCTTCCATAAGGATTACATTGAAACTTTGAGACCCAGTGGTTCGGATTCCTGAGAGTCTTTTTTAACGCCACATAGATGTTGGCACTCACCGATATGGTCTTTATCACCATGCAAAATTTGAAAACGATTGATTCAGCCGTCTAGGAGGAGTTTGCGTATTACGAAATGCATAAGAGTCAACGTATAAGAGCATCGCTCGTTTCGCTCGCTCCACTCAATAAAGAACCTGTGTTACTCTGAAAATAACAAAATTTCGATTGTAAAAGATTGCATGTATCGAAAATATGTATAAATTCATGCTTCATAATCATTTTAACATACAGTATACAGTCTCTTCCCGTAGCATTTTAGCATTGCAGATACATTAATCCATTCCCTAACTCAACACTGCTCACTTTTACTACTTCCTTCACCACACCCTAAGTCGTGGACCTGTTTCCCTCCTTCCCATAGCATTTTAGGATTGCAGATACATTAATGTAATTGCCAAAGACAGTTCCCACACTCCGTACTGCTAGCCTTTACTACTTCTTTCACCATTTCCTATGTCGTGGGCATGCTTCAATCCCTTCTCATAGCATTTCAGCATTGCAGATACATTAAAACTGCTACAAACAGTTTCCAGTTCCCACACTCCACACTGCTCACCTTACTACTTCTTTCACCTCTTCCTACGTCGCGGATCTGTTTCCCTCTCTACCCATAGCATTTTAAGATTGTAGATACCTGAATCTAATCGTCATAAACAGATCCCACACTCCGAACAACTCGCCTTTACCACTTCCTACATCGCGGACCTGTTTCCCTCCCTTTCCGTAGCATTTTAGGATTGCAGATACCTTAATCTAATCGTCATAAACAGTCCCCACACTCCGGACAGCTCGCCTTGGCTACTTCCTTCACCACTTCCTACGTCGCGGACCAGTTTTCCTCCCTTCCCATAGCATTTTAGGATTGCCGATACCTTAATCTAATCGTCACAAACAGTTCCCACAGTCCGGACAGCTTGCCTTTACTACTTCCTTCACCACTTCCTACGTCACGGACCTGTTTTCCTCCCTTCCCATAGCATTTTAGAATTGCAGATACCTTAATCTAATGGTCACAAACAGTTCCCACAGTCCGGACTGCTTGCCTTTACTACTTCCTTAACCACTTCCTACGTCACGGACCTTATTCCCTCCCTTCCTATAGCATCATTGGATTGCAAATACCTTAATCTAATGGTCACAAACAGATCCCACACCCCGAACAGCTCGCCTTTACTACTTCCTTCACCACTTCCTACGTTGTGGACCTGTGTCCTTCCCTTCCAATATCATTTTATGATTGCAGATACCTTGATCTAATCGTCATATACAGTTCCCACACTCCGGACAGCTCGCCTTGACTACTTCCTTCACCACTTCCTACGTTGCGGACCTGTTTTCCTCCCTTCCCATAGAATTTTAGGAATGCAGATACCTTAATCTAATCGTCATAAACAGTTGTCACGTTCCAGACTGCTCGCCTTTTCTACTTCCTTCACCACTTCCTACGTCGCGGACCTGTTTTCCTCCCTTCCCATAGAATTTTAGGAGTGCAGATACCTTAATCTAATCTAATATGTTAGTTATCTAATCTAATCTAATCTGTTAGTTATTTAGTTTATTTTAATTCTATTAGCCATTAGTTTACTTATTTATTAAACTTTTATTATTACAGTATTTGATCTTATTTTGTTTAAATAAATGAATCTTTAAAAATTTACTTGCTGTGTTGGTGGGTTGTTTTAAATTTAACACCTCCTCTCACCAGTGTATATTTGTAAGGGAGGAATATAGTACCTGCATCATGAGCATTGCCCTGTTACATGTAATAAGTACAGTAAGTATGGTTTCATTAACTGAAAATTAAACCGAAAACTGAAAGTTAATTTGTTTTTAGGTCACAAAAGCGAAAAAATAGACCCATTCTTTTAATTTGTTTTGTTTGTTTTTCAGCCCCACATCAAACGGTTGGCCTAAAAAATAGAAGCATTTTGTAGGTAATTAAATGCTCTATACATGTGATTGGGATACTTGTTATCCTAGAATATTTCATTACTGAATTAAAGCGATCTAAAGAAAGAGATTTGGCAAAATAACAAAAAAAATTACGTTTTATTGTAAAATAATTTGAATATTTTCGTATCCATAAGTCTTAGAACCAAATTGTTATACTTATATTATAGGAAATTTAATTGTCTACAACATTGCAATTACATATTTTTCGCTAAAAGCACCAAAACGGAGATATAGGCGAAAATCTCTAGAAAGTACCAATTTCTTCGATTTTTCAATATGGCGGCGGGCGCGGAGGGGGTAGAATTGTGCATTTTGCGGTTTTAACACCTACTTACCATCCTAGACAACATATAAAAAATTTAGACTTACCGGACCGTTTGTAAGTTAACCCCCCTATTTCTGTCTCTATTTACTGGACTAGTCTGACTAGACCAATAGTTTTCACATCAAGCTCTTAACAGTGAATGCTTCAAATTTGCTGTGTACACCACTACACCTCAACTCACAATGACTAGACCAATAGTTTTCACACCAAGCTCTTGTGCCATATGACTTATATTACAAAAGAAACATAGACCATCTGTTTCCAGAGAGGAAACAACAGGTAAACGGCTGGTGATCCATATTGATTTGCAAAAAATAAAAAAAATAAAAGACCTGAGCATCAATCTCGCACCAAGAAATTAATGATCCCTTTGTGGCATCGAATGGAACCCTGCTCACCAAACCAAAACGATTCAGAACCTCTAAAATTACTTTAGAAAAATCATAGGTCAATCAGGAACAACCATACTCATAAACCAGTATATTGCTTTACCCCCAAAAACATCAAGGGAGGATAGTGATTGTCATGTAATCTGAACTTGTACTTGTAGAATTACTGTCATGGTTTTGAAAGAGCTACTATCTGAGTCCTTTAATCATCATTATTAATTACCATAATTATCAATACATCTCAAATATTTTTGTACAAAAACCCAGTATTATTAGTTTATTAGTATAGCACGTTCATCTATTTACACTTGACTCTGTACATTGTACTTTGAATTGTATTATCTCCATTGACCTGGCCTATTGTATGACATGTATACTTAATGGCAATAAACTACTTGAATTTGAATCATTGTTATCACTACAGTACACTGTATCAGAGTTTCACAATTTAGGATCTGAGAATCTAGAATATAGATATCCTTAATGCTGTTACTGACTGTTTGGACTAGTCAATTACAAATCAGAGCACTCAATTTTAAAATGTTTTAAAGTATACCCACCACTTTGTCTCCTGACAGATCATTTTTCATTTCAGCTCCATCTAGCAGCTCTGGCATCTCTGAGAGGTGAGATCCTCGACCTGACATCGCGATTGCATGCTGTTACACACGAGCGAGACATGCTGGAACGCACAGTCGCGCAGACTGAGAGCTCGGTTGCACAGCAGTATGAGGAACGTCTCACTGAACTTCACTGTGTCATTGCTGAACTTAGTCGCAAGATGGAACGCCAACGCACTTTGGTCATTACAGAAGAAGAGGATGTAGTTTCAGGTTAGAAAAAGATTCCATATATATTTTTAAGCTTAGGCTATAATTTCATTTTCCCCTAAATAATTTGAAAAGAATTATTACCACCAGTTTCTAGGCATACTCGTTATTTATTGATCTCATAAAAGTCAAGGCTACATAGTATTAGGGGTGTGCGAATAGTGATTTTTGGGTTCAAATCGAATTGAATCGAATACTTCATAATATTTTTGAATATCAAATATTACCCAGCAAATATTTATGTTATTATGATAGACTCCAAAGAATTTTCCAATCACAGTTTTGGAACCCTACTAAGGTTAATAATTCTGATTTTAACCAATGTAACATTTTAAAATAATCAATTTTTGCCCTTACCTATTTTATTTGTTCCTGGTACAAAATGAGTACAGTACAGGGCTTCCAGTATTTTTCTCATTTTATTTAATTGATATTACTATAAAAATGAATAATTTCCTACATTTATGGTTTTCTAACAACAATTACAGTATCACACATTATCAACACCTTTGGCTCATAACATGATTATGTCAAGAAAAACAGTTAAGATAAAGTTTACCTAATAAAGTTAACCTATTTTACAACTATGATAGGTCATAGCATGTCATAGCCATAATAAAGTAGTTAAAAATTAGGTAAAGCATTTTTAGGAATAAAGATGTTTGCAGCAACATTTTGACAAAATAATGTAACACAACTGGTTACTTTTTTCCAACCAACACAATAACGGGTTGTTTATTTAAAACTTTTACAAGCATATAAATGCATTCAGTTCTTGGTCTGCAGTGCACCAAGGTACTAGCATAATTACCTAGTGTAGTCGGTTCCGGTACAGATTATAACAATTAATTACTTTCAATTCACTGTCGTTGGTTAGGAGCACATTAAAAGGTTTATCAGATGATTGTTTAGGATTTTCATAATTTATTACTAGAGTTGTGGGGCAATAAAAACCATTAGCATTCCCAAAACCTAAAACCATTAATATTTTATGACGACATTGTTGTAGGCAAGTCAAGTACTTCCAAGAACTGGTTGAGTCAGTAGTTTTGCTCTATAAAGTTAAAAAGTTTTATCACTTTTATTCCTTGACGACTTCCATGATTTATTTAATTTAATGTTTAAAGAAAAAGTCAGAATAGAAATACTAGTAAGGCAAAACAAACAATAGAAGGGTGGGATGGGTTGGTGCAACCTTGAAGCTATATTTAGAGTAGAGGGGTGGCTTGGCCTGGGATTCTAATAGCAGGACAATGATACATAGTTGTATTTTCGGAAATCCTTTGCCCGGTTTGACTTCAGATTCTCTTTTTCAAGGATTACCAACAGGGTGCAGCACTATTATTTCTTTTACATTTATGACAACAGCTAATTTGCAACCAAAAGGTGAGTGAGCGTAGCGAACAAACTTCAACCTGGAGGCGAGTTAGCGTAGCGAATGAGCTAACCTGAAGGCAAGTGAGCGTAGCGAACGAGCTAACTTGAAGGCAAGTGAGCACAGCGAATAAGCTCCAACCTAAAGGTAAGTGAGCGTAGCGAACGAGCTCCAACCTAAAGGTGAGTGAGCGTAGCGAACGAACTTCAACCAGGACGTGATTGAGCCATGCGAACGAGATCATCTTGAAAATTAAGAAGTTAAACGGGGCAAAGCCCGCGGGACTATAAATAGTCAAAGGCAAGACAACGTCTGCCGGGTTCAGCTAGTATATATATATATATATAAATTTAAACGAATGGTGTTTTTGGCCTCTGGGGACATCAAAATGAAAAAGTAAATCAGTCCCGGGCCTAAGTCTTACCGTGCCACCTAAATTATTTTGATCAAACTTGGCAAATTTATTTATTTTATACTAAGGTATTATTTTTTTACAAAAAAAAATACACTTTATTAGTTTACTTGTAGCAGCAAACCTAGGTACTCATCAAACCTAATATATATATTAATACGCAAGCAGGTTTCTTTTCACAGTCATAACTCGATAACGGCTTAACGGATTTTAACGATTGAGGTGTCAAATTAAAGGTATTTTCACGTAGATGTGCAAATACGTCTCAGAATATTAAGAAAGGGCATCACTTAAGTACAGTTAAGGGCTAAAGTTTGGGAACGGCGGCGCTATCTGTTGACATTAGATCAAACTGTCAAACTCAATTCCCTTTGTTTACAACTAAACATATGGACGTAGTTTGAAATATTTTTTAAGTTTAACCACAGACTGCAGCAGGACTTATTACATCCAGAGCAAAGCCGGAATTTTATATTTGTATTTAAACATCTGTTAACTAAGTCTGGTTCATACATAAAGAGTTTCCTATTAAGACCTGACAACAAAAATTGTTTGTAATACAGTAGTTGAATTGATTTAACTTACATCGTATTTTACTGAATTATCATGTAGTTTTGGTTACAGTTTGGTGTGATTAAGTGAATGTTTGAAAGTGATTATTCACATTACAATTAACGTTAAATTACCATATTATCATGTTTTTTACAATGTGTATCAAAATTCCTTTGTAGTGTTTTCTGTTGATTGGTTAACTTTCGTATTTTAACTAAATTTAAAATAAAGTGCCACCAGTAAGACGAAGAACTGTGAGTGGCTGGAGGGAATGCAAACGAGACCGCTGGCATCGAACCTCCCAATTTGACGGATACATAGTGGCAGTACTGCCGTGGTAATACATACAATCTCAGACAAATGAATGTTACATTTTTACATAAGGGTTGCTTAAATTTTAAGCAAAAAAAGCCTGGCCGAGACAGTTCAATTTTTACTCTTTGTTGCCATAAATTAAAGGTTCGTTTGTAACATCATTTGCGGAATTCACCATACTTTCAGGAACTTATTTGGAAAGTCCCAATCTGAAAAAAAATCTTCAATCCTTAATCCCAACTTACCAAAGTGACCTGAAATATATGACCTAAAATGGAGGTTTATAAATTTTAAATATAAGGAAAATTTTAAAGGGAATCTTAATTTCTTCAAATGCCAAAAAGAGCTAAAGATTTGTTATAGTTGTGTAAGGTTTTTGTGTATATTATGTTTAACTCTAAATTTTACTGTAAATTATACTTCATGTTCTCATCCTGCCTTTTAATTTTTTCCATTATTCTGAATCATTGAGAATTTCACATTACTGATGATTCAAAATCTAGTAAATTCTGCAATTCAAAATGGATGTTACAAAACAACATTCACTCCAAACTATTCCGTTAGTCATTAGTTAGTACCTATTGGACAGATCGTGAACAGAATATATTCTTTTCTTTATTACTATTGGCTTAGATGTATGCCTTAGATGTTTGCTAATTAACTTTTTTTTTAACTCTGAATGAGACTAAAAGCATTATTTTGGGTTTTCAACAATTTGTCCATTTTCAGGGAGAGTCACACAAACCATAAGTATAACACTCGACATAAGAACCTAATTAAGCCCACTAGCCATAGATTATCACTATTTGAAGCATCACCTCAATATATTGGACCAAAATTGTACAACTTAGATCCTGATAATTTAAAAAACATTACAAATCCAAATAAATTTAAAAAAGAATGTAAAAACTGGTTGCTAACCAAAACATTTTATTCTTTAAATGAATTTTTAAGTGGAAATTGGTAGAATGTTAAGTATTAAAATAATTTTGTTTTAAATGGAATATTATTATTTAGCTTTAAGTACTATAATGTAATTGACAAATGTCCTGTCATTTTGTGATGTAATGGCATTCTGTAAATAAATAAAATAAATAAATAAAGCAGTTTTGTTTATCAGAGACAGAGCAGAGCGTGGAGACTTGTTCACAAGCTGATGAAACCCTTGCGGTTGAAGAGACAATACTTCGCCCTGAGGATGATGATGAGGTCTGTATGTCTCAGCATTCACTCATGGTTAAAAATTAGGGATGGGCCCATTCCGATTTTTGATACTTTGATACCTTCAATACCAGGAGGATCGAAGAATCGCCGATACTCGATACTTCGCTTAATTGTACTCGATACCAATTCTGAAAAAGAGGTTAATTATGATGCAAAACTCGACTGACGTTGAAGGTTGTAAAGAGTGGCACATCATAGTTTATTTGGAATACTCTGAAGTCAGCTAATATAAATAATTCCAAGTTCATTAGCTCGCATTCGTAATCATTTTATTATACATAATAGCGTGCCTTTGCATTTCACAACAAATGAAGAGTTCAACTAACAACTAGTAGAACACTAGTCGAATGGTAGAGGCTTATCAGTTGCCGCCATGTTGTCAGATCAAGAGCAATGTTGCCAGATTGGCCAGATGGTACAAGCATTGAATATATAAATCTAATTCACAGAAAGTACATATAGTCAATGGTACTAGTATAACTTACGTTTTCTAACTCCTGATAGGCTTGATGTACTTTCTTTAAAGGCTAACCTAATCTATGTATGCTTAACACGTTCGCTACCGCAATAGTAAAAAAATTTTCACTCATATGGACCAGTGGCGCACGTATGCGACAGCCGATTTCTACCCGTCGACTGCTGTCGCATATATGCGACAGCTGGTCACTTTAAAATAGACTGACGTCGCATATTTGCGGCAGTGTCCAATGTTATTAAAAAGCAGGGTTGCCACCAGTCATGAAAACCTTGAAAAGCTTGAATTATGATTTTGTGAGACCATGAAAAAAAGCATGGATTAGGCATGAATTTCTCTGTTGGTCACATTAAAATAGACTGTTGTCGCATATTTGCGGTGGTGTCCAATGTTATTAAAAAGCAGGGTTGCAAAAAAGCGTGGATTAGGCATGAGTTTTATTTTTCCATTTGACCATGCATTTTATTAGGAATAATTTACTCAACCAATACTATTAAATTTGTAAAATAAAAAATGTTTTATGTTTTAAAAAAGTTTGTGAAAACCAATATAAAGAGAATTCTGTCTGGAGATGATTGAACGGAGCGAGCGAAGCTCTTTGGGATCAACTTCAATGCAAACAATATAACACCATCACTCAATAACGGCTGAACACATTTCAGCTAAACTTAACAAGATTACTTAGACTAATAGTGAGATGGTTTGTAAACAAACAAATTTTAATTACATAATGTTAATGCAATTTAAAACGAACTTAAAATTTCCAATTTTTAACATTAGGCTTATGGGACTAAAGTAGCCATGACAGTTTTATGAATTAACAAGATAAATGTAAACAAGAGAATCATAAGGTATTTCTGAACTTTCTAGACTTTTCTTTAAAGGTTTTTAAACCATTCCTACAATCTTAATACACAAGAAAATACAGTTAAAACATTTTTTTAAGGCGGGGAATTCACTGCAAATTGCGAAAATATACGGAACTACTTTCTCAATGCGCGGAGCATATCGCACGTCAAGAAACAAGGATCTGAGTGATATGGACCTGTGACTACTTACTCTTGGGCACCTATTATTTGTGTTGCCAGCAAGGATTTAATAAGCGATATATCGAACCGCATCAAAATCGATATTTTTAATCCGATAATACCTCACAGGTTATATGTTGAACTACATCGACGGTACAGTAAGTTGTTACACGTATTAATAAAACGCAGATTGAACACTGATCTAATTTAGGCATTAGGGGAAGGTCGGTCGGGGTTTATGAGTATTCGTGACTACATTAAGTGTTTTAAAGTAAGGTTAGATTAGGAAGGTAAAGTGTAGGTTATAGGTAGGAGATCGGGTTGTTTATTTGTGTTGCACCATATGATTTTTTATCGTTTGGAATAGTTGGTTAAACGGGAAACGATTTAAAAAATGGTTGCATATGGTCTTAACAAACCATCTACAGTATTCTAGCATTGACTTTATATAAAGTCTATGATTCTAGCAAATTACTACATACAGACCAAAAGAAAAGAACATTTGGATTTGGACCTTTGACTATAGCAAAACTAACATATAATTTATGATTTGTGAAAAGTTGTATATCATTAAATACTATTCTGTAATATTAATAATTGTTCGGCAAATCCTCATTTTAATGGCTTGGCTGAAAATGGAATCTGCATTTTGTGAAACAGTAAACAATTCAGTAATTTCAAATGTTTATAACAGTAGCCTATCCTATATAAATACTGTTATTTGATTGCCAAGCCACAGACTATACATACGTCCAGTTACAACCATAATAGTAAGTAAATAATTAATTACCTAGGCTTATAGAAGTCCACTTTTAACCTTGGTATGAATAATTGTCTAGGCCTGTCCAGAAGTAGGCTACTAATTTCTAATTATATAGCCTATTGAATAATTGTTTGTTGTTTATTAGGAATGAATTTTATTTATTCTTGCTATCATTCGTTTATAGGAATATAACTTACATAATATTTAATTAATTCATTCACTGTACTGCAATTCATTTGGTTCTAATGTCACAAACAGCCGGGAGATGGACCGGCCAATGCTTAGTCGCTTAATACAGTATTTTCCATTCGCCAATCGCGGGAGTAGCTGTCATCAGACATTATTATAAGTTAAGAAGATGGCGGTCGCTGAGGCTACTATTGATTAAGTAGCATTAGCCACTAGATGCACCCCCTCCCGAATGTTGCCAAGCTTCTAATGAAGGCGGTGATTATATGTGATTGACACATATAATCACAAGAACAATCAATAGAAGAAATAATATGTTTATGACACATGATTATTATTGCAGCGTGGGTAAATAAAAATATACTTTAAACGTCTAATAAACAACGCAAAATACGCTAAAGATTGTAAGGAAATTTCTGAATTAAAGGCTGATTAATTTGGGTTGTTTAGATTAGGCCTTTGTTGTGACAAAATACGATGACGTAATTGGAGACCAAATCTACATTGTGTATTTAAGGCATGTCTTCCCTTCTTATTATTATTCTGTTTTCACTTAAATCATCTGAATGCGATGTTTACTTATTACTTAAGTTAAGGCCTACATTTCAGCCATATTACTTTATTGTAGGGATGGTCAAGTCTCGAAATTTCGGGAAATTTTCGGGAAATTTTAAATCTCGTTACACGAGACGAGATTTTTTTTGGGCCGAGATTTTTATCGAGACAAGAATTAAAAAAAAAAAAAAAAAAAAAAAATTAAAAACGCCTGCAGAAAGTCAATGCAATACCCGCAATACAGGAGCGTGTTGTAGTTGCGTTTCCTTTGCGAAGGCGTTCTTATTAATTAACTCTTTAAATGTAAATATTACTTTAATTATTTTAATAATATTACTTTAATAACATTTTAGAAGTTTTGTTAAGTGTAAGCAGTGTGAGGAATGTTTTATTACTATAAAAAGTCAAAACAAGTACCTAACTATTTTATAAAAATTAATATTGCTTTTATTTTATGATTTATTTTATTTTAGGATACGTTGAACTCTATCCTAAATGATATCACTATGTTTCCTAATCGTAGGCATTTTTAATAAGTTAGGCGTGATTAAACAAAAAATGTTATGCTGATGTTTTTTAATAAAAGATTGTAAATATTCTTGCCTATTATCATTATTTTTGTATTTAAACAGTCATCTAACAATGTTACAAAATCAGGTAAACATTTTGAACGTGCATTTCCCGTTGTGTATGAGAAGGGAAATCCCGTCTCGATCTCGTCTCAAAATTTTATGAGAAATAAAAAATCTCGTCTCGTCTCGTCTCGAACTAAAAATCCAATCTCGTCCATCCCTACTTTATTGTTCAATAAATAAGAGAGTCTTTTTGCAGTTGTTACACATTGAAATACAGGATTGATAATTCAGTTCATTTTAGTCTTTTAAAGGTGTTTTACATTTGAGTCTTACATTAAAATAGCCCTACATTTTTCGTAGGCCTATGTTTTATTAAGGCCGGTATTAAAATGCCGTCTCTAAATCGTCCTAATATTGGTAGAAGACCTACATTCCAATCATATCCTCCATCAAGAATACTTGGTATTAACAATCATAAATTATTTCCAGCAAAGAAAGCTGAGTTTAACCGATTGCAAGGGTTGAAATGAAGACAAATTTGTATGTTGCACAGTTGAATTTAAATGTCAAATTTCCCCTCCTGTTTTTATACTTACTCGTTTTTTTTAAACAGTTACTGTTTTTTTTATACTTAAATACTTTAAAGGGTGAATGTTTTTATTGTAGGCTACAGTTGAATTTGAATGTTAAATATCCTTTCTCTTTTTTGTATACTTTAATGCCCTTTTTGGATGTTAATATCAAGATTCCAACTACTGTAATATTTTCCTGGTCAAAACTACCATAATCCACTTTTGGAAGAGGTAAATAAAAAAAAAACAAGCATGGTACGTCTATTGACTATTTTTACATTTAGTTACTTATACAAATATCAAATCACGTTTGTTCCGCTCAACTGGCTTTCACCTCTCTGAAAGCAATCCTAGTTATTAAAAAAATCCAAGAACAGAAACAATTACTTAGTTCATTCTTAGTCATTCGACTGATCTTAGCTGAGTTTTCCCGAGAACTGAATGTGGTTCAATAAATTATTGGGAGGCCGTGTATGGAAAATGTGGTGTGTGGACACCACAAACTAACCACTTACAAATAAACATTTATAAAACTTTTATAAATACTTTGTTCGGTATTTTGTTTTTTCTGATGTGTTGTTGTTTAGTCACAAGGAAAGGTTTTAGACCATTGCACAGGATTGAAACAAAATGTGCGATAAAAGATAAAACATAATTTCAGATGCTTGACACCTTATTTTTTTAGCTTTGTGGATAAAACCACTTAGTATAATACCTTTGACTATTAATACAACTTCTGTATCCAATAGTCAATGATAATACTAAGGACATTATGCAATACGATCAACTAGAATAATACAGGATTATTCATGACATTAATGCAGGGGA